GATATGCGTGTGTTAAAGTGTTATATGTCTCTACAAGACTGGGTTTGTTCAGTATCCGGCCCCACTCTAACTGCAGAAGAAATAAACCTAGTGGACAAGTTGTTTTGTTTGGAAAGCTATATCTTACCCGGTGGACCCATCGCGATGAAGCGTCATCTAGTACACAGAAGGCTTGGTATTTGCCAACTTGAGACATCTGTGGCCGCGCCGTGACATACGGTTGTCCAATGAAGATATGGCGTTGGGACGATGCTTGTTCTCAAACCTGTGTCATATATATGTACATATATATGAAGGTTCGAGTGTACGCTGCGGCAGTTCGGCCAGTTCTGTTTTGTGGAGCAGAAACTTAACCATTAAGAAAACAGGATAAAGAGGGACTATCGGTTTTTGATCACCGCTATCTACGTAGCATTACAGGAATCTGTTGAGATAATCGGAAGAGAAATGCTGCGGTTAGATGCAGTTTTCGGTAACTGCGGTCGCCCACTGGAGCAAGTGGCCTACCTCCATAGATTAAGTTGGTTGGGGTCACCAAATAGGCTGCCACGGCGAGCGATGTTTTCCTATGCAGGTAGTGTGTGGAATAAAGCCAGCGGTGGTCAAACCAAGACCTGATAAGGGGGCATGAAAACCCTAACCAGGAGACTCGGTCACATAGGCCGCGTTAGGCTCCCTAGTTGGGGGCCTCCGGATGATCGTAACCTATGGTTAGACACACTGAGTGATATGGCTGGGTTCCGGAAGGGATAGCGTTCGTTCGTCCGTTCATGATCGTTGTATCCCGTGCCTTTATTTTGTCTCTGTCTTCTCTTTGAGTCTGCTCTCAACATTCTTCTTTCTACTGTTTCACCTCAATGGGCAAGCAACAGATAGCAACGAAAACCACCGCAATGAACTGACTTGACTTGAATCGTATCTGTAACCTTCACGATCATGTACTGTCACTATCGTCTCGTATTCTTGTGAGTTTTGAAATTCAAGTGTTCCAGCTTATTTAGATGAGTTCAGAATGAAATGATATATTTTTTATAATTTGTTTGTGTGATTTGTGCGTGAACGAAGGAGTGATAGTTGTGGATGAGTGACTAGGTGAGTTAATTCGTGCTCATGAACGGCAAACAAGCTTGTTTGGTGAAACGTGTCTTCATGGTCATTCAACCGGGAACATTTTCGCATCCTTTAGGTGACTGTCCGTGGCTCATCAGCCTGCATATTAAATTTTCGCCCTGTATAGTGTAAACACGCTGCATGAGACCAATTGTTTTGTGGGAAGGAGGTCTTGTTCACCCCAGAAGACACTTGGGCTTTTGGAATATCATTATAAATTCCAGCAACTGACCTCAGTCTGTTTCGTTGACTTTCTCGCTACAACTGACTTTGTCACTGAGGATGGTAATTACGAACAGGTCACCCGATTCTATGCTCGGTTCCATGGAAAACCTATGGGCAAATATGTACCCAGTAGTTGATGTGAATCAGCTTTTGTGCTGAACCGTGAAGAAATCAAGTTCATCCCTTTCGCTTCGAAGCTACTATCCAAACCTGAAACTGCAAGTTCTTGGATCGCCACTCTCGTAAAAATATTTTCAAAATTACCACTGCACTCTTATTGAAAATAATTGTCTCCTATTTGATAAACCTGCATGATGGCTGCCTAGGGAAATATAAATACATGTAATCAGGAGATTCCTTAGAAGATTCACCACGGAGTTCCTTTGACCGAGTAAGTATTCAATTTTTAAAGGTCTACCCGATATAAAAGCTAAACGAACTGCCGGATCTCAACTGACTAACTCCGTTTTTCCTGTAAATTTCAGCTAACTCGATTGAATGCCGGGTTTTGAATCTCTAATCCTGGGTGAGAAGACTGCCGTGATATTTGATATTGGATCTGCATACACAAAGTAATCCCTTCATAAATTCATGCCCAATCGTTGCTAAGGTGTGGTTTTGCCGGAGAGGCTGGACCGAGGTTTATTTTTCCCACCGAAGTGACTTTGGTATGGATGTTGTTTTCACCAATTCTTGCTTCATCCCTATAGCCGAATGGAGATACAAAACATCTTATGTCATTGACAACAGTGGGAGAGAAGCGAAAGTTTCTCATCGAGTTTTTTCACCATCTTTACTATAAGTGAGTCTTCTACACAAAGTTATCTACTCCATAAACCGCAGGCATCTGTTAGTTAATCCGAAAGACAGACGAGTGGTTGTTATCGAAAGCGTCCTCTCTACCAGCGAATTTCGTGATCTGGTCGCGGATGTTCTGTATAACCATTTCGAGGTAAATCATGTTTTAATATGCAACTATTCTTTCTTCAGATTCCCTCAGCTTTATTTGCTCCCGCTCATCTCCTCTCACTTTTCACACTCGGGTTATCCAGTGCCCTGGTTTTGGATTGTGGATTTCAAGAAGCGATGGCCATTCCAGTCTGTGTACATTATCTTACTCTTACAGATTTCCCTAGGTTTACGAGGGCTACACACTATTGAATTCCTGGCAAGCCAGCCAACTGGGAAGTCGTGCAGTTTTCAAGTTTGTCCTATTTCTGCGCATAATAGTTTCCATTAGAAACCTTGAAGAGTTATTACAAAAAGATGCTAGTATCGTAAACGAAACGGGCGACGTGGTTCCACTAGCTTCCTGTCCACGTGAGTCTCATCCGTTGTCCATATAAGCATTTTCACTAAAGCAAGTGATTATCATCTGACAACTGAAATTCTTGAGGATATCATAGGTAAGATGCCCAAAGTTTTACGTTTTTAACACTGGTTCAGCGAGGACCGCCTTTGTTAGTCCGGCTTCCAGAGCTGAAGAATGGCAGAAATGGTTGGATGCCCAGGTTGATGAGGAAACAGCAAACAAAGTAAATCCACCAAAGGTCGCTGAGGATGCGTTCTATTATCCGCTGAACAGCCTAAGCGGTAGCAAACGCCTGTTGATCCCTTCACGCATTCGCGAACTGAGCGTTGAATGTTTGTTTACGTGTGATAATGATCGGATCACTCTGGCGACGCTGCTGCTGAAGTCTATTCAGTCCAGTCCCATCGATATTCGAAGGTAAGCTGTATTAGTTCGCTGCTTCACGCTCATTTTTCACTTATGTACTTCACTTTAGTCATGGTATTTGAGTACGTGCCATATACTATCCGTTCTTCCTGTCCATCATGACCAGACTGTATCTTGACGTGCTGTGATGGCTTGCGTGCCTGCATAACCCTACGACTTATGCAGGGTGGTTTTTCACAGCCGCTTATTCAGTCATGCCTTAAAGGTCAATGAGTAGTAGCCAAACAAAGTTCGAGCTCGCAAGGCCAGCGGAGTGGAAACCTCCGGGCTCCCTCTGACTATCCGCTTTCGCCCCTGGGGTGGCAACTCCAGCAAATAAACACGATGAGGGGTAGTTTACCGGTCAAACCCCCTTAATAGATGATTGTACGGGCTGGTTACCTAGGGTTTCTTCCCGACATTGGGAGAAGTCTTCGCACTTCTTTTGACAGCTACCGCCCGCCCAAGCTGGGCAGCCCCCAGCCAATAAGGTGCTGTCCCGTCCACGTTCCGCTTGTCTCATTGGGTGCATGAGGCTGAGGGCTGATCCCGAAAAGCGGACCGATAATCAACGCACCAGCGAACAACACGCTGAACCGAAATTCAAAGGCCCTGCGCGACAGGTCTCCAGAAGCTCCCACACGGGTNTCGTTCACGCTTCCGCGTTGGATTTACGCCCCGCTGCCTTGTGGGTCAGAGTTCTGAGTCAAAGGCTCCGGTAAGGGTTCCCAAAAAAAACCCTTCGTCGGTGTGGGCTACCGCGAAGTATGTCGTTCCCTAAAGTCTTAGGCACCCATTTGGAAAACGACCCTTCCTTTCTGACTAGTTCTT